TACATACATACATACATACATGCATGCATACATACATACTAAACACATAAAAGAGTCAGACACACACACACATATATATATATATATATATATATATATATATATATATATATATATATATATATATATATGTGTGTATATATATATATGTATATATATATATATATATATACACATATATATATATATATATATATATATACACATATATATATATATATATATATATATATATATATATATATATATATATATATATATATATGGATGATAATCATGTGAAAGAAGAAAACAGAGTAGTTCTGTCTCAGGGTGAGTACAGACTGTACTCACCCCTGAAGATGTGAATTACACGAAAGCGCTTGGGAATCTTCGTGTTTTCTTCTTCCTTGTGGTTATCAGCATATACCTAGATCACGCGCACCTACAGTGATTTACTTGCATATATATATATATATATATATATATATATATATATATATATATATATATATATATATATATATATATATATATATATATATATATATATATATATATATATATATATATATATATATATATATATATATATATATATATATATATATATATATACACACACACAGGAAACACATACTCAGTACATACAAATACATACATACATACATACATACATACATACACTACTACACTACGTGTTTGCTGTTTCAACACCTCAGCCCACATGATCTACGTGACCTCCATTGTAAACATTAATCTGTATGTTCACTGTATGTTCCTTTACCTTTCTCTAATGAAAGCTTTTGTTAAACCACTAATGTATGTAATAAGTCATTTATGTCCAATGTATATTTTCAGCCTTCGGGCTGCAGAACTTTTTCAATAAACCGTTAATTATTATTATAATTATTATTACATACTAAAACACATACGATACAATTGCACACACACACACACACACCTAAACAGACATACAAACATACATACATACAAACAGACAAAATCACGGGCTCAAACACGCAAAAATACATGCAGACATATATACACACACAAACACTCGCGCACACACACACACGCGCACGAATGCACACAAAAATATAAACATACACACACAATAACGCGCGCGCGCGCACACACATACACACACACACACAAGCAAACTCATGCACACACAAACGCAAAAGTATACCCATACTACTACTTTGCTGTCACTCGGAATCGAGTATGACGATCATACAGCTATGATAAAATGATATGAGTTATTAAGGATGTCACCTTCGTTGGAGATCTTTGAGGTGACTCGAGAGGCCGATACGGGACCGGCAGGGTCGTCCACAGATGTTCCACGTGTGGAGGGCTACATCTAGTGCGGGTGGGGTGGCGGCAGCGTCTTTCCGACTCTGGGACTTGTCTGCCTCGGTATGTCGTCGGGAAACTCGAAAGTATTGACACCTTCTCGTGTGGTGCTCCTCCAAGTGTTACGGTGTGCAGTAATCGTTTCCCAGGTGAGGAGGTCGATTTGGTACTTTTAAGGTTTGTCTTAAGACTGTACCTTTTCTGTTATCTGCCAGCGTTACGTTTATTATTCGTTATGTGACTGTAAAGTATCTACTTTGGAAGTCTCCTGTCGTCCATGTGGGTAACATGACCAGTCCAACGTAGTTGTTTATGGATAATGGTAGTCTCGATGCTCCTACAGTACAGTTGGTGTCAGGGAGAATACTGTCATTTGTTCTCTTGGCTTCCCAGCGAACTAGGAGGATGGAACGTAGACTACGTTGGTGAAAGTTTTCAAGTGCCTTGAGGTTCTTCTTGCATTTGACTTATATCTCGCTATCATACAGCAGGGAGGGGAGGACCACTGCTCGATACACATGCAACTTTGTAGAAAATTTCAGCTCCCTGCAGGTGAAGACATGGGTACAGAGTCTGCCAAAGGCCTGAGATGCATATCTGATCCGATGTTCAATCTCTTCAATGATATTCGCGGTGGTGGACAGGTGGGAGCCAAGATACTGATAGTGGGTAATATTAGAGAGAGTATTACCGTTAAACTGGATGGATGGTGGAGGTGTGGTTGAACCATGGGCAAGCTGAAAGATAACCTGGGTCTTAAAGGCATTTACCTCAAGGGCGAAGTGTCCATACGCATCTGTGTAAGTGCTCAGGATCTCTTATAGGTCGCGTGCAGTGTGAGCGACGTATGTGAGGTCGTCTGCATACTGAAGTTCAGTGATGTAGGCAGCCAACACCGTTAATCCAGCCTGGAGTCATCTTATGTTGAAAACCCCCTTCATCAGGGACTGGATGTCCACCCCGCCAGCTAAATTTGCACTGGAAGGAGTAAGGAAGGCTACCAAGAAAATGGAAATGAGATTTGGTGCCAGCACACATCCTTGTTTTACCCCCGTTTGATTGGGAAAGAACTCAGACTGGGTGCCGTTGTGTACGACTCTACTGTTCATGCCATCGTTGAGTTGTCTCACAGTGGCAATGAATTTTGGTGGGCAGCCAAAAAGACTGAGGATCCGCCAGAGGGCTTCCTTGTTGACTGAGTCGAAGGCCTTAATAAGACCAATGAAGGTAATGTACAAGTCATGACCCTTGTTTTCTGCACTTTTCCTGTATCAGGAGGGCAGCAAAGATCATGTCAGTGGTGCCACGTGATGGTCTAAGGCCACATTGAGATTCTTGGAAGAAGTTTTCCGCTTCAAGAAGAAGTCTGTTTAGGAGGACTCGGGCAATAATCTTGCCAGCTATGGACAGTAGTGAGCTCCTGCGCTAGTTGGCACAGTTTCACCAGTCTTCCTTATTCTTAGAAATATTGGGGACTTCCTTCTCCTCCCATATAATCTCCAGGAGACAGTGGAGACGGAGACGGCTGGTAAGCAGAGGTCCTCCTGCTTTATACACCTAGGCTGGTATTCCATCAGGCCCTAAGGCTTTGTTATTTTTCATCTGTTTGATGGTAGTAAGTACCTCATCCGGAGATGGAGGATAGCTGAGGTGGGTGAGTTCTGGAAGCTGAGGGACGTGGTGGGTAGTCAGGACATCCGCATCGGTGTTTCAGTTGAGCAGGGAATGGTCGTGGTCTTTCTAACGCTGAATGATTCCTTCTTCCGTCTTTAATTAGGGCGTTACCGTCGGATGAACGGAGGGGACCACGGCATGAGTAGTTGGGCCATATATTTTCGTAGAAGGTATCAGCTTTGATCCGAGACTTAGGGCTGTTCTTCTAGAATCTAATCAGTGAGAGCGACGAGTACTTCGATTTCCGGGTGGTTTGCATCAAACCAATCCTGGCGTTTTCTTTTGCCTAGTGTCTCGTTGCAGTTTTTTGTGATGACAGCTTTGATGGGACCCCATTCGGCACTAGGGTTTTGGTTGCGTGTTGTTGGGTTGTCTATCAGCCCATCATTGAGCTGCCATCTGAAAGAATGTGCTACTGCTGGATTCTCCAGTCGTTTGGTGTTGCAGTCTCTTTTGGAGGCTATTTGCCGTCGCTGTTTTGGGGCGGCATGAAGGGAGAGATAGGTTCTGACGAGCTGATGATCTGTATCACAGTGGTCTGAGCCACGCAAGGCGCGGGTGATGAGGACATCCCGGTTATCTCTTTCTCTGACAATGATTTAGTCAATGAGATACCAATGTTTGGATCGTGGGTGTTGCCACGAACCCTTAATTTGTCGGGATGCCTAAACAAGGTGTTGGTGATTGTGAGGTTGTGTTCAGCACATTTGGTTCGGGGGGGTAGGCCGTTGGGATTACACTTGCCTACTCTGTTTCTCCCAATGGTTCCTTTCCAAATGTCAGCATCTGCTAACTCTGGCAGTGAAGTAACCTAGGAGCACAACTTTATCTTCTCTGAGGATAGAGGTTAACATTCAGTCGAGGTCAGCGTAAAAGACCTCCTTGATGTCACCTTCTGCAACCAGTGTTAGGGCGTATGCACTGATGAAGAAGGCATGGTGTGAGTGATTCAGTGAGACTCGGAGCGTTATGAGGCGCTTGTTGATTCCAAGAGGCATTTCACTTAGTTTATGTAGGTTGGATTGGCGAGTGGCAAATCCAACTCCATAAAAACGGTTTCTCTCTGTAGTAGGCTTACCCTTCCAGAAGAAGGTATAGCCGGACCCCTGTTTTGTGAGTTGACCCTCGTCTGGGAGCCGGGAGTCACTAATGGCTGGTATGTCGATTTTATATGTACCTAGACAGCTCTTTTGCCACAAGGGCAGTTCTTCTTCCAGGACGCTAATTTGTGCCTGTATCCAGAAGGGTCCTGACATTCCATGCAGCGACTATAAGAGGTTGTATAGTGCATAAACGACAATCTTATCTATGCCATCCATGTGCAGAGTTGTGACTATGGACACCAGTCCGTCATCTCTGCCTGTCTCTGTCGCCAGTCGTCTGTTGCCATTTGACATATAGGGGGATAGGGGTTTGATGATGTTTTTTCTCTTCTTCACACAAAACTAAGATGGTTCACACATCATGGTCTGTGATGGTTCACACAACACTATAATGTTCACACAACACTCTGTAATGTATCACACTACACTGTCTAAGATGGCTCACATACACACACACACACACAGGCATATACACGTAAACACACACAGACACACTCACGTGCACGCCCTGTATGTGATGGTGATGGTATTGTGGGTGGTATTAGTGTGGGTGGTAATAGTGTGGTGTCTGCGTTGTGTGGGTGATGGTTGTATGGGTGATGGTAGTGTGGGTGGAGGTAGTGTGGGTAATGGTAGTGTGGGTAGAGGCAGTGTGGGTAGTGGTAGTGGGAGGGTGGTAGTGTGGGTGGTGGTAGTGTGGGTGATGGTAGTGGGGTGGTGTTAGTATACAGAGTGATACTCTGGTAACTATATTCATATTGGTAACGGTGGTTGTAATTGAGGCGACGATGGTTGTGGTGACAAATGTTGTAGTTGTGACGATATTGGATGTAGCTGTAGGGTTGATGGTTGTAATTGTGGGGGGCGGTGGATACAATTCTGGGATCAATGGGTGCAGTTGTGGTAATGATGGTTGTAGTTGAAGTGGCGATTGTTGTAGTTGTGGTAACGATTGATGTAGTTGTGGTAACGATTGTTGTAGTTGTGGTAACGCTTATTGTAGTTGTGGTGACGATTGATGTAGTTATGATGGCGATTGTTGTAGTTGTCGTAACTATATTCATAATTATGGTGACGATGGTTGTAGGTATAGTAACGAAATACGTTATTGTGTTGACGATGATTGTAGTTGTGGTGAATGTGGCTGAAATTGTGATGAAGTTGGTTGTAGTTGTAGAGACAATGGATGTCGTTGTGGCGATGATAGGCGATGATAGTCATAATTATGGTAACAGAGTTAATGATGTTAATAACTGGTGTTGTAAGGGTAACACCTCATTAAACCACTAATAACTCCTCATTAAACCACTAATAACACCTCATTAAACCACTAATAACATCTCATTAAACCACTAATAACACCTCATTAAACCACGAATAACACCTCATTAAACCACTAATAACACCTCATTAAAACACTAATAACACCTCATTAATAACACTAATAACACCTCATTAAAACACTAATAACACCTCATTAAAACACCAATAACACCTCATTAAAACACTAATAACACCTCATTAAACCACTAATAACATCTCATTAAACCACTAATAACACCTCATTAAACCACTAATAACACCTCATTAATAACACAAATAACACCTCATTAATAACAATAACACCTCATTAAAGCACTCAAAACACCTCATTAATAACACTAATAACACCTCATTAATAACACTAACAACACCTCATTAATAACACTAATAATACCTCATTAATAACACTAATAACACCTCATTAATAACACTAATAACACCTCTTTAAAGCACTAATAACACCTCATTAATAATACTAATAACACCTCATTAATAACACTAATAACACCTCATTAATAACAATAACACCTCATTAATAACACCAATAACACTTCATTAATACACTAATAACACCTCATTAAAACACTAATAACACCTCAATAATAACTCTAATAACACCTCATTAATAACACTAATAACACCTCATTAATAGCACTAATAACACCTCTTTAAAGCAGTAATAACACCTCATTAATAATACTAATAACACCTCATTAATAACACTAATAACACCTCTTTAAAACACTAATAACACCTCATTAAACCACTAATAACATCTCATTTAACCACTAATAACACCTCATTAAACCACTCAAAACACCTCATTAATAACACTAATAACACCTCATTAATAACACTAATAACACCTCATTAATAACACTAATAACACCTCATTAATAACAATAACACCTCATTAAAGCACTCAAAACACCTCATTAATAACACTAATAACACCTCATTAATAACACTAATAACACCTCATTAAAACACTAATAACACCTCATTAATAACACTAATAACACCTCATTAAAACACTAATAACACCTCATTAATAACACTAATAACACCTCTTTAAAGCACTAATAACACCTCATTAATAACACTAATAACACCTCATTAATAACAATAACACCTCATTAAAGCACTCAAAACACCTCATTAATAACACTAATAACACCTCATTAATAACACTAACAACACCTCATTAATAACACTAATAACACCTCATTAATAACACTAATAACACCTCATTAATAACACTAATAACACCTCTTTAAAGCACTAATAACACCTCATTAAAAATAAAAACACCTCATTAATAACACTAATAACACCTCATTAATAACACTAATAACACCTCATTAATAACACAAATAACACCTCATTAATAACACTAATAACACCTCATTAAAACACTAATAACACCTCAATAATAACAATAACACCTCATTAATAACACTAATAACACCTCATTAAAACACTAATAACACCTCATTAAAACACCAATAACACCTCATTAAAACACTAATAACACCTCAATAATAACAATAACACCTCATTAATGACACTAATAACACCTCATTAAAACACTAATAACACCTCAATAATAACAATAACACCTCATTAATAACACTAATAACACCTCATTAAAGCACTCAAAACACCTCATTAAAACACTAATAACACCTCATTAATAACACTAATAACACCTCATTAAAACACTAATAACACCTCATTAATAACACTAATAACACCTCATTAATAACACTAATAACACCTCATTAATAACACTAATAACACCTCATTAATAACACTAATAACACCTCATTAATAACAATAAAACCTCATTAATAACACTAATAACACCTCATTAAAGCACTCAAAACACCTCAATAATAACTCTGATAACACCTCATTAATAACACTAATAACACCTCATTAAAACACGAATAACACCTCATTAATAACACTAATAACACCTCATTAATAACACTAATAACACCTCATTAAAACACTAATAACACCTCATTAATAACACTAATAACACTAATAACACCTCATTAATAACACAAATAACACCTCATTAAACCACTAATAACACCTCATTAATAACACTAATAACACCTCATTAAAGCACTAATAACACCTCATTAATAACACTAATAACACCTCATTAATAACACTAATAACACCTCATTAATAACACTAAGAACACCTCATTAATAACAATAACACCTCATTAATAACACTAATAACACCTCATTAATAACAATAACACCTCATTAATAACACTAATAACACCTCATTAATAACACTAATAACACCTCAATAATAACACTAATAACACCTCATTAATAACACTAATAACACCTCATAAAAGCACTCAAAACACCTCATTAATAACACTAATAACACCTCATTAAACCACTAATAACACCTCATTAAAACACTAATAACACCTCAATAATAACAATAACACCTCATTAATAACACTAATAACACCTCATTAAAGCACTCAAAAAACCTCATTAATAACACTAATAACACCTCATTAATAACACTAATAACACCTCACTAATAACACCTCATTAATAACACTAATAACACCTCATTAATAACACTAATAACACCTCATTAATAATAATAACACCTCATTGAAGCACTCAAAACACCTCATTAATAACACTAATAACACCTCATTAATAACACTAACAACACCTCATTAATAACACTAATAACACCTCATTAAAACACTAATAACACCTCATTAAAACACTAACAACACCTCATTAATAACACTAATAAAACCTCATTAATAACACTAATAACACCTCATTAGTAACACTAATAACACCTCATTAATAACACAAATAACACCTCATTAATAACACTAATAACACCTCATTAATAACACTAATAACACCTCATAAATAACACTAATAACACCTCATTAATAACACAAATAACACCTCATTAATAATACTAATAACACCTCATTAATAACACTAATAACACCTCATTTAATACATAAGAACACCTCATTAATAACACTAACAACACCTCATTAATAACACTAATAACACCTCATTAATAACACTAATATCACCTCATTAATAACACTAATAACACCTCATTAATAACACTAATAACACCTCATTAATAACACTAATAACACCTCATTAATAACACTAATAATACCTTATTAATAACACAAATAACACCTCATTAATAACACTAATATCACCTCATTAATAACACTAATAACACCTCATTAATAACACTAAGAACACCTCATTAATAACACTAAGAACACCTCATTAAAACACTAATAACACCTCATTAAAACACTAATAACACCTAACACTAATAACACCTCATTAATAGCACTAATAACACCTCATTAATAACACTAATAACACCTCTTTAAAGCACTAATAACACCTCATTAATAACACTAATATCACCTCATTAATAACACTAATAACACCTCATTAATAACACTAATAACACCTCATTAATAACACTAATAACACCTCATTAATAACACTAATAATACCTTATTAATAACACAAATAACACCTCATTAATAACACTAATAACACCTCATTAATAACACTAATAACACCTCATTAATAACACTAAGAACACCTCATTAATAACACTAAGAACACCTCATTAAAACACTAATAACACCTCATTAAAACACTAATAACACCTCATTAATAACACTAATAACACCTCATTAATAGCACTAATAACACCTCATTAATAACACTAATAACACCTCTTTAAAGCATTAATAACACCTCATTAATAACACTAATAACACCTCTTTAAAGCACTAATAACACCTCATTAAACCACTAGGAACACCTCATTAATAACACTAATAACACCTCATTAATAACACTAATAACACCTCATTAAATACATTATTTAAAATGGTTCACACAACATTTTCTAAGATAGTTCACACAATACAGTCTGAGATGCTTCACACAACACTAACTGAGATGGTTCACACAACACAGACTGAGATGGTACACACAGCAAAGAAATGGTTCACAAATCACTGTGTGAGATGGTTCACACAACACCGTGTAAGATGGTTCACACAGCACTGTCTGCGATGGATCACAAAAGACTGTCCGAGATGGTTCACACAAAATTAAGATGGTTCACACATCATGGTCTGTGATAGTTCACACAACACTATAATGTTCACACAACACTCTGTAATGTATCACACTACACTGTCTAAGATGGCTCACACAACACTGTCTAAGATGATCCATGCAATACTGTCTGAGATGGTTCACGCAACACTAAGATGGTTCAAACAACATTGTCTGAGATGGTTCACACAACACTGTCTAATATGATTCACACATCACTAGATGGTTCACACAACAGTCTAAGACGGCTAACACAGCACAGTCTAAGATGGTTCACACAACACTGTCGGAGATAGTACATGCAACACAAAGATAGTTCACACAAAACTGTCTGGATGGTTCACACAACACTGAGATGGGTTACACAACACTGAGATGGTCCACACTACACTGTGGTAGTTCACACAACAATGTTATGCATCACATAACACTGAGATGGTTCACATACACCCTCGGAGATGGTTCACACAACACTGTCTGAGATGCTTCACACAACAATGTCTGAGATGGTTCAAATAACACTCTTTAAGATGGTTCACACAATACTGTGATGGCTCACACAACACCGAGATGGTTTAATCAACAATGTCTGATATAGTTCACAAAACAATGAGATGGTTAACACAACAGTGTTGAATATGGTTCAAACAGCATCACCCATGGTTCACAGAACACTGTCTGAGATGGCTCACACTACAATGTCTCTGATGGTTCACACCACAT